CTGATGGCTGCTAGCAGCAGCAAGGGCATTCTACCCCCTCCACCCCCTCCACACGAGGGTAGAGGATGTTTTGTATTTCCCGATGGTTTAGGGATGCTGGAATTTGAGCCTGAGGGGTTTGTGTCACTTTGTGGTGGTGGTGGTGGTGGTGGTGGTTTTATCTTTAAGATAGAAGCAGTTATAAAAAAGGGTAGTCTATGGAGATGAATCCTGAGCTAGGAGCTAGATGTGTCGAGTACAGACATAGCAGCAAGGTGTGAAGGAAAGGGCCATATAGGTTGGACAAGGCTCAGTGACCACTCTGACCCCTCAGAAAAGCAAACTTCCAAGCTGCTTGGAAGGCAGAGATAGGAAAATCACAATTGGAGGCTAGCCCATGCCAATAATAATAATAGTAATAATAATAAGATCCTATCTCAAAGACAAGCCAGGCCAGCCGCCAGTGTGGCTCACGCCTGTCATCCTAGCTTCTCAGGAGGCTGAGATCTGAGGATCACAGAAAGTCCTCAAGACTCTTACCTCCAATAAGCCACTTAGAAAACCAGAACTGGCACCGTGGCTCAAGCAGTAGAGTGCCAGCCTTGAGCTGAGGGACAGTGCCTGGCCAAGTGTTCAAGTCAAAAAAAGACAAGCCTGCACTTGTTAAACAGGAGGTGGAAGTAGGAAGATCATATGCAGTCTGAAGCCAGCCCAGGCAAACAGCATAAGATTCTACCTTAAAAACCACTAAAAGGGCTAGGCTCAGTGATAGAATGCTTGCCTTGCATGCATGAGGCCCTGGGTTCAATTCCTCCACCCCACATAAGCAGAAAAAAGCCAGAAGTGGCACTGTGGCTCAAGTGGTAGGGCATTAGCCTTGAGCTGAAGAGCTCAGGGACAGCGCCCAGGCCGAGTTCAGGCCCCACCACCACCACCAACAACAAAAAAGACCACACTAAAAGGCTACATAGGCCGAGGGCCTGACTGAGGTGGTAGAGCATCTGCCCAGCAAGTTCCAGGCCTTGAGTTCAAAATCAATAAAGAAGGAAGGGAGAGGGAGGGAGGGAAAAGATACAGACACCACATGTCCCTGTCACACCATGGGTCCTGGACAAGTTTCTCTGGCCATCCGGGGGCCTTCTGTCTCATCCCTCAGAACTCAGCAACGTGGGAAATTGGGAGGAGACCTGTGGGTCTCACAGTCAAATGAGGTCATACCCATAGAGCTCACACATCATGGACTGTCAATGCTAGGAGTCAGAGGTCAGAGCCACGGAGACAAGCGTAGGTCATGCAGCAGGCACTAGTCTTTCAGGGACAAGGCCCTGCTGTAATCCTCCTGCTCCTTGTCTGTGGGTGTACCTGCTTAGAGTGGGTGGTGGGTGGACACACCGATGCCTACCCAAGACCCACGCAGCCAGAAGGAGAGACCCACAGGGCCAAGACATCCAACCCTGCCTGCACTTCTATTGTCAGCCCTGGGACTCCAACTCCTTCCTTATGCCGAGCCACATCTCGCTTCATTATTATGCAGATATTTTAATTATGCAGATATGTTTTTAGACCGGTTTGAATATGTATATTATTTACTCATTAGACCATAACAGCTCTGGAAATTGGAAATCTGTATTTAGTAGTTATCGGCGCGTGATACGGAACCGATACAGGGCCCACGGGGAGGGAGGGAGGGAAGGTGGCAACGTGAGGGTGCCCGGCTGGGGACCGGACCCAATGACCAATGACATCTGGATTTGGAGGGTTGGCTCATTACCGATCCTTTCTATTGAGTGAAAGGCAAAGGAACCACTTGGGGGTTAGAGAGGAGCCGATCTCATCCAGCCAGACCCCACCTGGCTCCATCCCCGGGATCACTGTCCACCACTTCTGGGCTTGAGGGTGAGGCCTCTTCTACTTCCTCACCGGGATCCTGGGGCAGTGGCATGAATGCTCTGAGCCTCAGTTGGCTCAGCTGCCAAAGAATCCCCTTCTCAGACATGCGCAGTCCACCTTCAGCCTATTGGCGAAGCCCTTGCATAGGATGAGTGTGGGTCTGGGCTCAGTGGCCCTGGCTTCCGCCTCAGAACTCCACCCCTATCACAACTTCCACCCGACTGACGCCCCCTCCCCCCCTCCCCATACCTCAGATCTCAACATCCTGCGCTCATCAGGTGAATTCAGGGCCTTTCATTCTGAGCTGCTCGCGTCTTCTTGGCAGCAGGGGCAGCTAAAACTGAAGAAGATGAAGAACTGTACGGCCTCTGGGCCGTATGGTCACACGAGTCCTTTTTGATGTACGGAAGCTCCCTAGGCCCAGGGCCGCCAGCTCTCAGGTGAAGGAGAATGGAGGAGAATCCAGCCTGGTGGGGGAGACTCTTTTAAGAGGATGGTGCCCCCGAGGGTTCCAGTCCCTAACACTCAAGCAAAGGGCCTCAGCATACAAAGATCCTTACCCTTTAAGGGGCAGCCATCATGTTTCTGGCCCCATTGGAGAAACAAGTCTAGAGGGATCTGGGCTGGAGGGAGTAGAGAAGGAGCAGCGTGTGTGGGGTTGGTAGCTGGAGGACCGGGGGCTGTAGCTCGACCCCCCCCCCTCCACTCTGTTAGGTATCCCGGTAAAGTCTACCTTGGTTACCAGGCCCTTCTGGTAAGACCTTACAGGTCTTCTCTGTCCCACCCGTGATCCAGTGGAAGAATCCAGAAGCAGTTGGAAGGGAAATGCTAGGAAGATGCACCTCAGAGCAGGGAGAACGTGGCCTCCAGCCATCCCTTAGCGGGCCTGGCCGTCTGGGGCCGTGTGAATACAGGACGCCAAGTCTCTGAGTACTCCGACCAAGGCTATGTTTCAGGTTCCCGTCTGAGGACATTGCCCTGCTCCATAGAGAAAAGAGAGAAGTCTATAGGCAGGAAAAAGATGAACGGAAGCTCTCCAGTAAGGTTAACCAGACAGCAGGAATGGATAAAAGTACTAGACAGGGGAAAGAGAAGCCTACCACACAGGTCGCCCAGGGGCAGCTGCTGGAGTTGGGGCATTTTGAACCTCAGCCCAAACCTATTCACACGGGAATCTTTGCGTTCGTCCGTGGATATCCGGGTCTCTCGCCCTCTCGAGACTATTGGAACCTTGTGTGGCCACGGCCTACCCATTCTACTCCCAGTCCACGGCCTGTTCCTTCCTCCTGTATCATCAGACATGCCCGTTTAGCAGTTTTCACACGTCCAGTGCCCAGGGACTGACCGATCGATCTGTAGCACTGAAAAAATAATAATGGCTCGATCGTGACCGAGGATTAAAAGTAATCCTTTCTCCGTGGCTGTTGCAACTCCGTCATTCACGAGTCAGCAGGCTGACCCAGCCCTTTGAGCCCCACATGGGGCTCCGTGAGCTTGAGGCTGAGGGCTGGGGTCCCCCTTCTCTGGGGCTCCCCCGCCTTGGCTAAATGATCAGGGCCTGTGAATCCCAGGACCACAGTTGAGCCCCAAGAGGGTGAAGGAGCTGGCCTCCTCTCCAGGGATGGAGGCAGAGGCAGAAGGGATCGAATCCTTAGGCCACAGCCCAGTTTGGAGCCTTCCACTAGCATCAGTTTGGCATTTGCAGTCCTTCTGACCGCTGGAGGTGACATTCTGCCCCCAGACACGGCTCCTCATCCCTGTTCCCCGCTTCAAAGGAGGAAAAGCTGGTTTCCCACATCCTGACTTCCATTTCCCTGCGACAGCAGCTGTCGGGTTATATCAGATCCTCTCCTCTGGGGCCTACATGCCACGTGAGGCCTAAACTGATAGATGGAGACGAGGTGCTCTGAATACTGAGAGACTGGGGCCTTCTGGGTAAAGCTAGCAGCCCAGTGGCAGGGCAGTCCAGTACACGTGGAGGCCAGAGGGAAAGATGGCTGGGCACAGTGGACCTCTGGACCTGAGCTATGGGCCGAGTGACGTAAACACGGTGCTGAGGACTAGGCCGAGGCTCTGGCCTGACCCAGATTTGTCTGGCTGCTTTTCCGTTCCATGCTTGGGTATCTTCATCTAATTGTACTATGGCAGGCACGGGAACAGGTGCACAAACCTGTTTGAGGTGCCCGATACCCACGGCACTGAGACTCTTACATCTCAGCTGCTCCTGCCCTGGAGTTTGTGCTCAGTTATGTGATACCTTCCCCCTGCAGGCTGTGATCTGTGAGCGGCGGGGCTGAGTCTGCCACATCTGCACACATAGCATAGTCTGGCCCTGAGCAGGTCCAGTGACAGCTGTGGCACAGACGGGCACACAGCTGCGCTCTCAAGGGTTCTCTGCCCACAGGCTTTGGTGGTAGAGGCCACTAGAACCAGGGCCAAAAGATGGCCAGGGCTCACTGGACGCCGTCATCTGTCACCCTAGCTACTCAGGAGGCTCAGATCTGAGATCCCAGTATGGCAGTTCAAAGCCAGCTCAGGCAGGAGAGTCCGTAAGACTCTTTTTTTTTTTTTAATTCTTTCTCCAATGAGCCACCAGAAAACTGGAAGTGGCGCCATGGCTCAAGTGGTGGAGCGCTCGCCTAGAGCTGAAGAGCTCAGGGACAGCGCCCAGGCCCAAGTTCAAGCCCAATGACCAAAGAAACAAAAAAGATGGACCAGGCTCATGTGGCTACAGAGCTCAGGAGCCCTTAGGAGACCGCAGGCCTAAGTGGGCAGTGGTGAGCTAGCGGCACTTCTGGGGAGAGACTTAGTAATTTGTGAGGATCTGCCCTCAGCCAGGGAGAATGACACTGATTTGTAGAGGGCGACCCCGCCAGCCATCCTTTCAGCAGGAGAGGCTGTAGTGTAGGGAGCTCCACAGAGAAGCCACTGGGGCTATCTGAGCAGGCTTTCTCTCGGATCAGGTAGACATTCTCCCAGCAAACTGGAACCGTCTGTGGGTAGGGTGGGATGGGGGAAGGGAGGCCTTGAACCAGCCTGCCCCAAGGGAAGTAAAGAAGTAATGGCAATAAGAAGGTGCGCGTGGGGCAGCAGCCTCCCTCATCTTCTGATCTTCTTGCTCTTTCCCTCAGAGACTGGCCGATGCTGCAGAGAACTTCCAGAAAGCCCACCGCTGGCAGGACCACATCAAGGTAAGAACCAGAAGCACCTTCTAGCGCACCCTGAGACCGGGGGGGGGGGGGGGGGGGGGAGAGAAGGAAATCACACTGTGTGGACAACACACTCGGACACAAGGGGTCCTAGACTAGAATGGAAGTCTTTCTGTCTGTCTGTCTTTCTGGGCACTCTCCCTCAGCTCTTTAGCTCAAGGCTTTACTTGTTCCACAGCGCCACTTTCTGCTTTTTCAGCTTATGTGGTGCTGAGGAATCGAAACCAGGGCCTATGTGTATGCAAGGCAAGCATTCTACCAGTGAGCCACCTTCCCAGCCCAAGCGGAAGCCTTTCTCCAGTGTTCAGCAGAAACGGGAGCCTGTGGGTCACACTTTTAATCCTAGCTACTCAGGAGGCTGAGATCTGAAGGTCGTGGCTCAAAGCCAGCCCAGGCAGTGAGGCTCTTAGTTCCAGTTAACCACCAAAAAGCCAGAAGTGGAGCTGTGGCTCGAGTGGTAGAGTGCTGCTAGCCTTAAGCAAAAGCCTCAGGGACAGTGCTCAGGTCCTGAGTTCAAGCTCCAGGACTGTCTGTCTGTCTGTCTCTCCCCTTCTCCCTCCTTTCCTCCTCCTTCTTCCCCCCCTCCCCCAACTCTCTGTCTCTCACACACAAATCCTTGGCTCTCTTGCAGTGCTGGGACCTGCAGTTATAGATAGGAGCCCCCTGAACCCCCGTCACTCCACATGAGTCACTGGGTGTCCAGTGAATGCACAGCCTGCTCTAAAGTAGCCTTCTCCAAAGAAGGCACTCTAGTTCTTTGAATCAAAGCAGCTCTCTTGATCTCAGGACACCGAGACTTCAATGCTGTTACCCGGAAGAGAGACCCTAGGAAAAGGTTGTGTTGTTGTTGTTGTTCTATATTCTCTTCCCTGAACTGAACAGCAGCCTGCACTTAAAGAGGCCCCCTCAGACCACAATTACAAAAGCTTCTCCTTCCAACAGGAAAAGCTCCAAAGGGCTCAGAAATCGTGGAGCCGAGTACAAAGTACTAAGAGTAGAGGGTCCAGAACGGACATGAAGGAAGAGAAAGCCCACTAGCTAGTTTCCGGCTAGAGCTGGACATACCTGACCCTTCCTGTCGTATTAGTGTCCCGTTGAAGCCAGGCAGGTCCCAGAGATGATGGAACTCGGGGACCATGCCAGCTGTCATAAGGCTCCTTATGTCAAGCCTCACGACCAGTCAAAAAAAAGCAAGTTGAGTCACTCATTATTCCAACTGAATTGAGGAGACGGGCATGGAGTGGTTAGAGTTTCCTAATCTTACCAGAAATTCATAGTTGGCTAACAGATGTCAACAGGTTCCCGTCTATGATCTAAGCTTCTGAGCTTGTGTACCTAACCCTCCCCCATTCTCCCTGCCCTGATCCCTCCATGTGTCTGCCTGTTTGTCAGGCCCACTGCCTGAGATTCTCAGATTGGGGGGTTGTAGTCCCCGCCCCCCCTTCTTCAGTTCCTCCTGACTGCAGGGTCACAGGAAGCTACACTGCTGTCCCGACTCCCAGGCTGTAAGCCATCAGTGCTAATGGTGGCCCATCAGCCCCCACGCAGGCCAGGCTGCCAGAAATCGCTGGCGAGCGGAACTGTCGGTGGGGTCGTCCATGCCAACGGGGGGCCGAGACTGAGGCTTGGGAAGGGCTGGTGTCTTCCTTCCTGTGACCTTCAGAAGGTGACAGACAAGGAGCCACATTTCCCAATTATGGCTTTGGCCATAATTGCAGCCTCAGACTCAGGCCCTTTCCCAAGCCAGCCTTCTCCCAAGAATATTCTGTATCCATTACAGCAGAGAGGACTCCCTTTTTTGGTCTAAACTTTAGGATTGGCCTTCACTGCCAACAGACTCCCCACATTGGCACCTCATCTGTCTACCCTACTCATAGCTCCTCTAGACCAGGAGCAATTAGGCCTGACCCAGTGCCAGTCAATGCCAGGCCATGAGCCCAGGCTGATACACCGGTGGCAGAAATGACCAGGAATGATTATCTCACCTCTAAGAGGGCAAGAGCGGCAACCAAAAGTTTGGGGCACAGAGGCTCTTTGGACCATGGGACCAGAGTGGGATTTGGGTGCACGGTCGGTAGGGCGTCGCTCTCCCTATACAGGCACCGCAGATGGACCTCCGAGGAAGGCAGGAGGGAGGCAGCGGTGCTATCCTCTTCCACACAGCACCCCACTGATCCCATCCAGCGACTAAGGATCCCAACGTCTTCAGCGTCAGAGTTGGGATGTGATCGAGGCTAATTAGAGTAGAAGGGATTTTATGTTATGTTATGTTATTTTTTTTGTCAGTCTTGGGGCTAGAACTCAGGGCCCATGCACTGTCTCTGAGCTTCTTTTGGCTCAAGGCTAGCGCTCTACCGCTTGAGCCACAGCGCCACTTCTGGCTGTTTCTGTGTATGTGGCACTGAGGAATCGAACCCAGGGCTTCACACATGCTTCACACATGCAAGCACTCTACCATTGAGCCACATACTGAGTCCCTATGGGGGATTTCAAAACAAAAAAAACTTTTGGCTGAGTGCTATTAGTAGTTCACACCTGTAATCTCAGCTACTCCAGAGGCTGAATCAAGGTTTCGAAGCTCACCCCAGCTGACAAATCTGAGAGACTCCCAATTAGTGAGCAAAAAGCTGGAAGTGGAGGTGTGGTTCTAGTGGTGGCGTGCCACCGAGTGAAAAAGGTAAGTAAGAGCACAAGGCCCTGAGTTCAAGTCCCAGTATCAGCACCAAAAAGAAAAAAAAAAACAAAAACCCTCCTTCTCCTAGTCCTAGGCCCTGACTCTCCGTGCTTGGCAATGAACATTAGGGGCAGAGAACCTGTAGCCGCAGCCCTGGACGGCCCAGGCCCATTCACATCAGGGATGCTATCATCTCAATTAGCGGGCAGCCCCTCCATGGCTCGTCAGACAGGCAGCAGGTGCTCTGGTGCCCGTAATACTCAGGGCAGATGAAGACGGGCCACCTGCTGTGCCGTGCCTGGTGCCAGTACTGCTTTTTGCCAGCATTACGTGCCACCTGACCCACTCCACGGGAGGAGCTGAACTGGGGCATAGGTGGGTGAAGGAGGACAGGCCATCAGCCCTAGGACCTCAGTGCCAGCCACGATTGACCTACATAGGAGACAAGACCATCCCCTGGAAGTCTACTAGGGAAGGTAGCTCTGCCTGATGAATGTAGCAGGAAGACCGAGATGATAGGGCCAAAGCAGGAGAGCTGGCTGGACAGCCTGAGGGTCTGACCCGGCCATAGGGCCTGCCGACTTCCTCTCTGCCAAGCCAGCGACAGATGGCTCTCTCAGAAACCAGTCCTTTTGGCTGAGCTGAGCTGGCGGTGGGCCAGGGCAGAGAGGCCGCATGGCCTCACCAGTACGGCTGGGTGGCCGGTCTGGGGGCCCGCCTTGAGGGCCGCTGGGCAGGCAGGAGTCCCTTCTGGCTGACCTTGGCAGCCACCTTGCAGAACTCTGGACCTGGATAACAACTATTCTGCCCCCCACTCACCCCGGGCTCTTCCTCACATGGCTTCCCGCTTGCCAACACCCCTCATGCCCTCTCTTGGGCTTGGTTTCTGCTACAGAGCAGCTGTCCTATGCTCACTCGGAGATCTAGCCCTCCCCCTCACTTGTCACCTAGATACATGGGGGTCCTATGTGGGAACTTGTGGGGGAGAAAGAATTCCCCACATTGTGCAAAATGTAGGCAAAATCACACACTCACACAAGATATCAGGGAACAGAAGAGGTGTCAGTGTGAACTTCAGACAATTAGACGGGTACTAGTGGCTCATGCCTTCAATCCTCGCTGCACAGGAGGATGAGATCGGAGGGTTGCAGTTCAAAACCCAGATTGGGCAGAAAAGCCCTATTGGAGACTCTTCCCTCCACTCAGCTGCCACAAAAGCTGGAAATGGAGGTGTGGTTCAAGTGGTAGAGCACACCAAAGTCCCTGCACTTGCTAGATGGCCTGCCTCCTTGTTGCTTCACCCAGAGAGCATCATTAATGTGAACAATCCAGCACTGGGCCAGCCAAAATGGACTCCAAGGCTTTCCTGGGGACCCTCCCACCCCAACTATAACAGCTCTGTTGTGCCATACCCCCAGCTCCAATCACAGCTCTGTTCAGGACCTATTTTCTGGGGTGACCTTGCCTCCCGTCCCAGGCTCCTGTGTGTCCTTAGGAAGGGGTGTGGCTCGATCATCCTCCAAGCCAGAGTAGTCCCGCCCACAGGCATCCAAGCCCTGAGAGACAGGGAAAGCATGCAGATCTGAGTCTCACCTGTGGTCACCTGCACTGTTTCCCCTTCGTCCCCGCTGCTACCAAGACCTGATTTCCCATAGAGACCATGCAAGGGCAGGACAAATAGGAAAACAGGGCCACTGGAACAGGGAAAGAGGAGCCAGAGTGAGTGCCCAAGCATCCCAAGGATGACCGGGGGGGTGGGGGGGGGGGAGTGGCAGACAGGTCCAACCTTAGGAGTCCAGGACTCCTGGAGGCTGGAGACTGACCGGCCTCTTCCCGTGCCCTTTCCCGTCCTTGCAGAACGTTAGCCTAAAAAAGAAGTAGTGGGTGAGCGAAGCCCCAGGTTGTAATCTGCAGTCCTCCCACAGCACCCGCCTGTTTTCATTACGGAGGGAAAGAGCATCAGAGCCGTGTTTATAACCCCCTTTTAGATAACAAATCACATTTTCTTTTCGCCTGCGAGTGTGTTGAATTGATATTTTTTTTCCCCCTCGGTTTAATGGGTTTGTGTGTTCAGGAATGATCTTCATCAACCGAAACTCCTTATTGTGTTTGATGTAATGTCAGCTTTCATTATGTGCTGCGGTCAGAGCCGGGCGCAGGGAAAAGGCCAAGTACCCCAGAGCCTAAGCCCGGTCCCTGCCCCCACCCTGGCCCGCCCATCTTGTCTGCAGTGTTCGTGGATGGGTGGGCTAGCGGGTGGATTGTGGGTATGAATGAGGTTGCAGATGACTTTGGAGGGCAGGTCAGAACCTGGGTTTGCAGCCTTCCTCTGCCCTTGGCTTGGTGTCATCTGTACGTTTGAGTCACAGAAATGCCAGATAGAGGGCCGGGAAGGTGGCTTAGTGGTAGAGTGCTCGCCTAGCATGCATGAAGCCCTGGGTTCCATTCCTCAGTACCACATCCACAGAAAAGGCCAGAAGTGGTGCTTTGGTGCAAGTGGTTGAGTGCTAGCCTTGAGCAAAAGTTCAGGGACAGTGCCCAAGCCCAGAGTTCAAGACCTACCCACCCACCCCACTCCACCCCTCTCAAAAAAAAGAAAAGAAAAAAAGCAGGCTTCTCCGACTCTGGAGCCACTTTTGGCCTTATGTTTGGGACCTGTCCAAGCATGGTGCCGTGTCTTGCAGTCACTGTTATAGAATGCTTGGACTCCACTACCATATCCAGCCAATGGTTTGAACACCAAAGAGCCTGGCGGGAGTCAACCTGGGACCCAGTAACTATTGCTGAATCCCTCATCATTCAACGGATCATCTCAAATCATGGCCACAAACTTGGCACCCAGAGCCGGGTGCCAGTGGCTCACACACCTGTCATCCTAGCTACTCAGTGTAAGGTATATTAAATAGGTAGGTTTCATTAGTAGCCGGTGAAGAGAACACCACGCGCTATTCAGGCAGGAGAAGTTTATTTACCAAACTCCTGCCCCCCCCACCATGCATGGTAGAGAGGCATGGCTGAAAAGGAAAAGGGCGACCCATTCCTGAGCCAGGACTTACTTAGGTCAGGGACAGGAAGAGGTGTGGCCACACTGGATCTGAATGTGACCTCAAGGTCTGGGACTCTCCTAAGGTCAGATAGGAGGCATGTGACCAGAGGTGGCCCAGGATGTGACCTTAGCAGGAGGGGAAGGTGACTGCTTCCAGGTCTGCCAGTTACCTAGGTAACAGATACTGGGCAGAAACTGAGCCAAGAGGTAGGGAGGTGTCCCTGTGCAGATCTTACACTCAGGAGGCTGAGATCTGAGGATGGTGGTTCAAAGCCAGCCCGGGCATGAAAGTCCATGAGACTCTTATCTCCAAACCACCAGAAAACCAGAAGTGGTGCTGTGGCTCAAGCAGTAGTGGTTGCCTTGAGCTGAAGTGCTTGGGGGCAGGACCCAGGCCCAGAGTTCAAGCCGCCATGACCAACAAGAGAAATTTTAAAAAGGGGTGGGGGTGGGGGGCTGAAGTGACCTGGGGAGTGTGACTTGGATAGTAGCCCTGGCCCTAGAGTCCACCGGGGCAGAGCAGGTGGCACTTGCTGACACCAAACTCACCTTCTGGCAGCCTCTGTCAGCTGTGCTTAGTTCTGATTAAAGATCATTAAACACGAAATTAGCCCGTTTGTGTTACGGGTCCCCGGGGCGGCCAGCGATTATGACGCGCAGATGGCCAAGAACCCTGGCGGCAGGCGGGGGCCAGCACAGGCCAGGCCAGGCCAGGCGGGCAGACGCAGACGGGTGAGGGCCAGGAGGCGGGCTGCAGAGCTGGGCTTTGCCGGGCTTTGTTTTCTCCCATTCCTGTTGTGTAAACCCCCTCGCGTTTCACAACAAATCACAGATAATTAATAAGTACATGCCCGTAATGAGCAGGCTTTTTAATAGAAGAAATTGGAAGATGCGGCGTCGAGTCATTATTTTGCTCTTGCCTGGGCTCCACTCTGATTTTCTATCTTCCTCACGCCCCATCCCGCTTCAGCTGGCATCTCGGCAGCCAGGCGGGCGAGCCCCGACTCTGCCTCTCAGCTAGGCTATAGCGGGGGGGGGGGGGGGGTGTCTAGGTCTCTGAATCGCCAGGGCCCAGGATACTGCATCCTCCACTAGCCTGTGAGGGATCCTGAGGATGGGCCTGGGAGACTGGAGGGGACACCCCGAGCTTTGACTCAAACAGTCTCTCTAGGGCTCTGGATCAGGGAGGGGATGATCTCTGGAAGAACTGAGACCTTGGGCTTAAAGGGGTCCGGATGGCATCTCAGGAGCCCCTGAGATGTGACTACCGAGGCCTTTCTCTCCTCAACCAGGAGGAAGACATCACGTACTATGACGCCAAGGCTGACGCGGAGCTGGTGAGTGGCTGACCTCTATTCTAAGGGGTGGGAAGCTGCAGAGCCACACCCCCTCCTCTAGGCTTGGCTCTGCCGGAAAGGATCAGTCTCAGCCGGAAAGGTGTTGCAACTCCCGCTCACCATTCTTAGCTCCACCATGCTTTCTCCCACGATTTCCTCAGTAATCTGACCCCTCCACCGCTGTGTGTGTGGCCACTAATGGGCTAAGGCCTTACCCCTCGGGCGAGGGTAGTGGGCATTTTGAACAGCCCATGACTGGGCACCTTAGATTCCCCAGCGTGGAGAGGGACTCCATCCAGCACGATGACAGCAGAGGAGAGAGATGGCGGACAGGGCTCCCTGGAAGTAGGCGGGAGGGTACCAGTCATCTCCAAACCGGTATGGATTTCCATCCTTCGGATAAGGGGAACTGAGCATCAGCATGCACAGCACCTACGGTCTGGCCTCACTATCAAGACTTTGTCCTGAGTCACTTAGTCTCTGCCTGACTTCAAAACAATGTCCTCTTTAGAAACAGAGGTGGTCACGGTGGTGCTGGGTCCCCAGACTGGCCTGTACTCGCTGGTGCAGATGACCCAGGATCCAGCCCACCTCTTCCGGGTATTTAGGGCTTTGCTGGGGCCGTCAGGAAGTGAATTGTGACACCAGGAAGTGGGAAGGAATTCCTGCTGAGGGTCCATGGTGCCAGGTTGGACCCGGAGAGCCGGGTAGGGGGCCGAGAAGAAGGAGGGGTGGGCTCAAGCAGGTGTGCTTCCCCTTGGCTGAGCTCTGCGGCTCCCAGAGAAGTCGCTAAAATTAAAGCTGGAATCTGAAATTCAAATGAAGAACGAGCCTTTAATTAGACCCTGAATCTAATTCCTCACCCCCCTCGGCAGCGGGCTATAATTTTAGCAATCAGTACATTAAATATAAACCAGCAGACTGCAGTTGCCCACTGCACAAAGCCCCCCTCCCCGCTCCTCCCGGGCTCGGAGGTGGTGTGGAGGGGCTCCTGCTGCCAGCAGCCCCCAACTCTATCCAGGACCCCAATTCCTGTCTCTAAATCACTGACTCTACCTCCAGACCTTTGAACATCTGCTGGGCTCCCAGGACCACCTAGTGAGGGAGAGTCACTCCAAGCAGTGCCAGAGGACAGTGAATCAAGCCTGTTCTGGGCTAACCAGGCCTCAGTATAAATAATAGCACACACACGCGCGCACACACACGCACACACACATCTGCCTACACTCCTGCTTGTGTTGTTGTGTTGTGGGGTTTTTTTTTCCCCATCTTTGCCAGAGGTACAGTTAAGAGATCTTTCTAGACTGTTTTCCTTTTAAATTACCAGCCAGAAGGTGGGGGTGGGAGAAAGAAAAGGAAGGAAAAAGTTCGCCAGCTGATAGCTTATCAGAACAGAATCCAAATGTCACATTAGTTGGGAAAGTCGGGAGATTAAATTTTCCAGTGCCCTTCATCTGCTGCTGACATTTCGGGGGGCTTTCTTCTCCCGCACCTGCCCCCCGCCCCGCCACTCTGAGCAGAGCATGCGTGGTGCATGATGCCTGGCAGAATTTTGCCATCCAGAATCTACTCTGAAAGGACAGAGGGTGTTCGCCTTGGGTGCTTTAGAGCCATGTCCTTAGGATATGCAGACGCACATCTGGCTCAGTAGAAAGGCTGAATGCCACCAGCGATCACGGGCAGATCCCTCAGGGTGGGAAGAAGGGAGGGGCAGCTGGCACCCATTGAGCAGCCCAGAACCTACGGGGTGGGGGGGGGCGGGTGGCAGATGAACTAAGCCCGGTCCAAGAGGTGGTCACATGCTGGGCAGGTTTCCCCCATACCAGAGCACCCAGCTCTCCCCCTGCCTCGCTCACCATGTGGCCTCCCAGCCTGACTTTTCCCTCTCTTCCCCTTCAAACCCTCCCACCATCCTCCCCGCACCCCCTCACACACCTGCACCCCGGCCCGCCCTCCCCCCCCAGACCGCAGCATCAATGCTGTAGTCACAGCGGCCCTGCTTCTGCCAGCCTACGGAGGCGGGAGGGAGCCCACGGCGCATGCCCGGCCGGCCCCGAGATGCTGTAATTGGCACCTGTCAGGCGGCCGCGGCTCATTTTAGAAAATCGACGGGGGCCTTCTCGGTCCCGCTGCTCGCAGGCACTGCAAACTCTCCCTGTGGAGGTGGCTGGGTCCTAATTCTACCCCCAACCCCCACCCCTCCTTGCAGCTCCCTAGACCTGCCATGCTGCCCGGGGTGCTTGCCCCTTCCTCAGACCTCCTCCCCAGTAATGGGGCTCCGTGCAGGAGATGGGAGGGACCTCAATGGGGAAGAGGGGGAGATGCCCCAAGGCCTCCCAGCAGTTGCACAAGGCACGATCATAGAAGCAGAATTCTGCTCCCTGCTTCTTCCCAGACATCCACGCTCTTTGCCTTCTCACTGGTTTTCCGCCATGTGGGAAAGGGGTCAGTTTGGTTCTGGTTTTAGAATCCGGTCTGGCAATCAGACGGTGAGTGTGGTAGCCAAGGGCAGATGGGAAGCATGACACTTCCGGGTCTTCCATCTCTCTGTCTCTGGCCACAATGGCGGCCATCCTTGAGATGCCTCCCCGCCACATCCCAGTCTCTGACACTCAGCCTTCCTGAAGAGGCTGCTCGGATCCAACCACCATCTTTGACCCTGACCTTGCCGGGGGCTTTCTGCAGGATGATCCCGAGAGTGAGGATATGGACAGGGGATCCAAGGCCAGCACCCTGAGGCTGGACTTCATTGAGGACCCCAACTTCAAGAACAAGGTCAACTACTCCTACACAGCGGTGCAGATCCCCACGGATATCTACAAAGGCTGTAAGTGTGAGAGCGATCTGTACAACTCACCCCGACCACGTAGGAGAAAAATCCACCGTCCAGGAACGTCCAGTCCACGGGGGAACAGAACGCTGCCATCATCGTCCTCTGGCCCCCTCCACCCACGGTCACACATGCTCACCTGTCACACGATGCCACAGTGGGCTATGAGACACCGGGTGTTGCACACACCCACACCAGAGCATACACACGCAGTCTCCCCCAACTCCCACTACTGGTCTGACTCCCCTAAAACAGCTCCACGCTCTCCTTGCCCGTTCTCTGCTTCTATTAAGAGTGGTGAAGACACTGCACTTGTCAGGTAGACACAGAGCTAGGGGACTGGGAGCTGCACTTCACAGGTACCAACCCGATCGGACCGCTCTGCCGGTTGGCACGGAACCAAAGGGGTAGCGCGATCATTTCCAGCTCAGAGTGGCCAGACAGAGGAGATGTGGGGAAGAGGAAGAAGATGGGTGGAATTCCCAGCCCTGGGGATGGGCCAGCTTGCCCATTCCCTTCATGACAGCTGGAAAGACGTGTCAGACACAGAAGAGGAATTTCCCGAGATGCTTGGGAAATGTAACAAAGAGGCCAAGAGCCAGACATGGGACAAGAAGCAGGGTTGAAGACACTGGGATCCCTGAGTTCTGATGCAATGCATAGTTAGTTGCAGATCCCAAGGGTGCCACCTGGGAGTCTAGGGGCAAAGGAGGATCCAGACCTACCACGCAGATTCAAGTGTGCGGGGGAATATCCTAAGGTCCTTGGGGAAAGGCCTCCTCCTCCACCATCAGCATCAGCCTGGTCTTCTGGGAAGCCTCGGGGAGCAGGGGAATGGGCTCCTCCTTACCCCTAACCCTCCCCCACCCCAGGCTTCCCGTGGGCCACCTGCCTAAGCCAGTCGAGGGGCACTATCACGGGCATGCACGCTAATTAAAACAGGAGCCACACCACCCTCTCCAGTCACCCCTCGCTACCCACACAAATTACATTTTATATGTTTTTTATTTACTGTGTCACTTTTAATTAAATCTGTAATCGCCTGCCTGAGGGGGCACGGTCCCCGTTTCCCAACTCGGCGTGATCTGAGAAGTGTGTACACGGGGGGTGGGGGGGGTGGGGGATGTGGACCCTTTCCCCGGGCAGGGTATTTTCCTCAGCATGTTCTGCAGTGATTGCAGAGGTGTGTGTGTGTGTGTGTGTGTGTGTGTGTGTGTGTGTGTGTGTGTGTGTGTGTGTGTGTGTGTGTGTGTGTGTGTGTGTGTGTTCGTGTGGTCACAGATACCTTTGAGGACAGTCTTCTGGGGCTTTTTTTCCCCCTCCGCTATACTGGAGTTTGAATCCAGGGCCTTAAACATTGATGCCCAAGTCTGGTGCTTTACCAGTTGAGTCACAGCTCCACTTTTGGTTTTTTGGTGGAAGTAAGAGTCTCGTGAACTTCCCTTCCTGACTGGGCCACCTTAGAAACCCGATCCTCCGATCTCAGCCTCCTGAGTAGCTAGGCTCACAGGCGGGAGCCACTGGTGCCCAGCTCCTTCTTTTGGCTCTTCACTTGAGCTAGGAAAATCATAGCAGCTCAAAGAGACCCCAAGGTGGTCCACTCCCAGCTTGTCATGGGAAAACTGAGGCGCAGAAAGGGATGGGCATGCCAGACAGACCCCCAGAGCAGACATAGGAGATACTGGAGAGCCTGACTTCATCCTTCCTTAAAGTGAGAAATAGAAATTGTTCAACTCACTAAGTTTCTAAATCAGAAACGGGACCGTGACATGGTGTTCGATAGGCAGAGCCAATGCTAGAAATGTGTTTTGTTTTCACATAATGGGACACAGTAGAAAGCCAGAGGAGAGGGGGTGAAGTTAGGCAGCAGATGAGACAGCAGAGACCCGCTCATACCTACCTAGGTCTGTGGGAGCCTCTGGGCTACGGGCATCAGACGTGAGCGATTGTAAATCACAGCTCCTCTGCTCTGGAAAGATCAGAGCCTTTGGGAGGCTCTCTGGAAGGATCGGAGCCTTCCTCTGTTTCTCACTGGGGTATTCCTTGATGGAAATCATATGGGGAGGTGGGTAATGGTAGGGCTCCACCCAGGAAGAGAGGAGGTAGAAGAAACAGGAAATAAGGGGAGCAGGGGGGCCGGGGGGTGAGGTGACACGCCAGGCAGACACGGGCGTCCCACTCCTGGATTTCTTTGTTTTTTGTCATTTGTGGGGTTTGATCTCAGGGCCTGGGCGCTGTCTCTGTGCTTTTTTTTGCTCAAGGCTAGTGCTCTACCACTCAAGCCACATCTCCACTTCCGGCTTTTTGCTGGTTTGTTGGAGATAAGCGTCACAGGTACTTCTCTGCCTGGGCTGGGCTGGGAACTGTGATCCTCAGGCTTCAGCCTCCTGAGTAGCTAGGATGACAGGCGTGAATTGCCAGTGCCCAGCTCCCACTCCTGTTTTTCCCGAGTGTCCTGGCATATGTCCCCCGTGCGCGCGCGTGCGCACACACGCACACACACACACACGAGGCAGATTTATAGTTGCTTTGAGTCAGATGATAGGAGTGCTGCCCAGGTTGGGTGATCAGCAGGATGGAGGCTGATCATCCGAGAGAAGCCTTGCTCTGTGAGGAAGCAGAGCAGGGGTCTAGCCCAGGAATTATACCTGTACCACTCCAGGAGTTAGGGGAGGGATAGGGTGACTGATAGTAGGAAGGTGTGAGGGCAGAGCCTACCAGTGACCTCCTGTAGGTGCAGAGGGGGTCATATAAGTGTAGGTATGTGTGCCCTTCGCCCGCGACAGCAGCTGGCTGGATGGGCTAGAAGGTTTGAGAGGGGAGGGGTCACACATCTGGCTGTGAGCACACAGTCCTAGGTGCACAGATACCTCCTGAGGGTGCAGCATGTACGTGTGTGCATGTGCACGTGCATGTGCATGCTTGTGGAAGAGCAGGATCCCGGCACCACCCTTCCTCTGACAGCCCCCGCCCCCCCCCCCCATCTCTGCCCCTGCCCGCTCCTGGCCCCAGTTGATTAATCATGAAGCTGAGTGGCTTCCAGCTTATCAGGTACCTTAATAGCTGAATAATTCCCGCTCCATCAGCGAGCCCTTAATTGCTTTCTTGTGGCCGCAGCCTGGAGTGCATGCCGAGTGGGTGAGCTCCTGGGGGACCAGGCAGTGTGCTGGGTGGGGAGGGGACCCGGCTCACGGCTCCCTGCCATCCTGGGCCGTCCCTCTCCAAGAGCCGCAGGCCACAGCTCCCCTGCCCATTCACAAGGGGATCTGGCAGAGGTCATATGCCGGCTGAGTGATTCCTCTGAACGGTTGGCAGGGTAAAGAGCAGATCTCCTTGGGGGATCCGGCCCAGTCTCAGCCTGGATCTGGGATGGGAGTGAGTCTGGATTGGTAGAGATCGGAGGAGGCCCGGGCATAAGTGTCACAGAAAAGGGGGGAGGGCAAGCTCCCCACACCAGACCTCCTGGTCCTCCCTCCCCCAGCCACCGTCATCCTCAATGAACTCAACTGGACCGAGGCCCTGGAGAACGTGTTCATGGAGAATCGCAGGCAAGACCCCACGCTGCTTTGGCAGGTCTTTGGCAGCGCCACGGGAGTCACCCGCTACTACCCCGGTAGGTGCTGGCCCATCCCGTCCACCTGGCCCCCCACCGTGTCCATCTCCTATCCCGGACTTGGAGGCCCACCCCACAGGCTTCAGTAACCCAGCCATTCTTGTAAGTCTTGGGCAAGGCTTCCCACGGCCCCTTACCGCCTCTCTTCCCACAGCGACCCCATGGCGAGCCCCCAAGAAGATTGACCTGTATGACGTCCGAAGGAGACCCTGGTGAGTGAGCAGGGAGGGGCCAAGCGGGGACGCGCCCTCAGCTCCCCACCTCTCCCTCCTGCTCCCCTCCCCTCCCTATACCCGGGCCTCGGAGCAGGGGCGCAGCCAGCTCTATCCAATTTTCATTTCACACATCGTTGCCACTGGAAAATGGATCCCATCACCCAGGCAGGCCTCCCGGCCGCCTGGATGCGTTTCTCACCCCCCCTCCCCCCCAATCTACCACCGGGTACCCTCACCCCTTCAGGTCAGAGAGATCGGACCAGCAGAGATGCTCCTGAGGTTGGGTAGCGCTTCTGTGGGGTCACAGTCTCTGCCTCGGCCACCTGAGCCCCAAACACCTCACTACCCTGCCCCTCCTCCCACAGTACCCCGTGACCTTCCCTTCCTACTCCGTCCCCCATGCAGCTAGACTGTCCGGGGTGGAGAACACTAGAAGCCACCAAAACCAGGAAACCGCCTTCTGCTCCCCTCTTCCCTACATTGAGAGACCCCATCCAACCCACCCAGTGAATCGTCCCTAGAAACCCTATTCATCGAGGCAAAGTTGAAGGAAGGGAGGACCCCCGGGTCCCAGAGAAGGTGGGGGGTCGCTCTTAACTAAGGCTTTTCCTGGGTCAGGTACATCCAGGGGGCCTCATCGCCCAAGGACATGGTCATCATCGTAGACGTGTGAGTAGACACTGCCCACGGGTCCGGGGCAGGATGAGGGCCGGACTGTGCCACCCAGGCGAGTCATGGGGGAGGGAGGACGGGAGAACCCCCGAGGTCCCCCACATGCCCCCCCCCATCTCTCCAGGAGCGGCAGCGTGAGCGGCCTGACCCTGAAGCTGATGAAGACGTCCGTCTGCGAGATGCTGGACACGCTCTCTGACGACGACTACGTGAACGTGGCCTCGGTGAGTGCTGAGGAGACAAGGCTGGGGGACCAGGCCTCTCCACGGGCCAGCTGGGCAGGCGGGCAACAGCTGCTTGCCCAGGCCGGCCCGAAGCCACTCACCACCGCCCCCCCATCCCCGCAGTTCAACGAGAAGGCACAGCCCGTGTCTTGCTTCACACACCTGGTTCAGGCCAACGTGCGTAACAAGAAGGTGTTCAAGGAAGCGGTGCAGGGCATGGTGGCCAAGGGCACCACAGGCTACAAGGCCGGCTTCGAATATGCCTTTGACCAGCTGCAGAACGTGAGCCTCCGTGGGGCGGGCTGGTGGGGGGGCAGAAGGTGGGCAGAGAGGGCCTGGGTCTGGAGACACGGTGGGGGGAGAGATCGAGATGAATGGCTTCGTGAGCATCAAACAGGCACCTGGGACATAAAACACCATGGGAGGGGGTTGGAGGACCCTGCCCTTGGGACCGAAAGCTACCTGACTCCGGCCTCACCCCCTGCCCAGTCCAACATCACTCGTGCCAATTGCAATAAGATGATCATGATGTTCACCGACGGCGGAGAGGACCGCGTGCAGGACGTCTTTGAGAAGTACAACTGGCCCAACCGGACGGTGAGGCTCCACCCCGCTGGGAGCCGTTCCATCCGGGTCTGGGACAGGGGAGGGTCGTCGTTAAGCGGGCACCGCGGTGACGTCGGGCCCCCCCTGCCCCCGCCAGGTACGCGTGTTCACATTCTCTGTGGGGCAGCATAACTACGACGTCACACCCCTGCAGTGGATGGCCTGCACCAATAAAGGTATCTGGTCTGATGGCGCCACCGGAGGGTCTGCCCGCCCCCTGTCCATGTGTCCGGCTGTCAGTTCATCTACTCTCTATCCAGCTTACCATACGTGCACCAGCTGCCGCTCTGTCTAGTAGGCTTTCTTACTTGCCCATGTCACCGGTTCTCTGTCTGCCTAGCTAGTGATCTGGTCATTGTCCACTTGTCTCCCAGCTTGCGTGTGTTTGTAGGTTTGGGGCTCCCTAGTCCCCGCCCGCCCCCCACCTCTGCTCTGCTTCCTCAGATCCCTTCGTTCCCTCCCCTTCCATACAGTTCAGACACAAATCATCGCCCGGGAGCAGCAGTAAGGGATGTGAATGGGAGGGGGGAAGGGGGGAAGTGACACCAGAGAGACAGACAAGCGTGTGGGGGCTGCAGATGTACCCCACAGAGCGCCCCCCACCCCCGTGCCGTGGATCCCGCGGCGTCAACCAGGACCACCACTGCCTCCCCTCCCTCCACAGGTTACTATTTCGAGATCCCTTCCATTGGAGCCATCCGCATCAACACGCAGGTGAGGCTGTAGGGGAAGCCCCTCCTCCCAGTTCCCTATGGTCGCGGTGTGCCTTCAGCCGCCATGGGCCAACAGCGCCCTCTGCCGGTGGCTGAGGCCACAGTCCCGAAACACAGGAAGGCGGAGGAGGGAGTGAATTGAGAGAGGGACTCGGGACCTCCGCCGCCACCCCCCTTCCCCAGGAATATCTGGACGTGTTGGGAAGGCCCATGGTGCTGGCGGGCAAGGAGGCTAAGCAGGTGCAGTGGACCAACGTGTATGAGGACGCGCTGGTAAGGCCTCTAGAACGAGAAGGGCGGGGAGGGGCGGGGACTGGAGCCTCCCCCTGGGAATGTGTGGGGGGCGGGGGGTTAGCAGAGGTTAAAGGGTGGCCCTCGCCCCAGCCTCTGTTCTGAACGCTCAGGGTGAGGGCAGGGCCAGTCTCAGGACCCCCCCTTTCCCCCCCATCTTCCTCTCCTTCAGGGACTGGGACTGGTGGTGACAGGGACCCTCCCAGTTTTCAACCTGACTCGAGACGGCCCCGGGGAAAAGAAGGTGAGGTCTCCACACGGAGCTGCATGCACCCAGGCATGGCCGGGTGTGCCTGTGGCGTGTGTGAGGGTGGCGGGATAGAGCGGACCCGCAAACCTGTGATCGTGTTTGAGGGCGTGGAATCAAACTTTATTAAAAGAACCCCTCTTTCCCCCTTCCCACCCCCCCCCCACCCCCGTGCCTCTGCTTCCAGAACCAGCTAATTCTGGGTGTGATGGGCATCGATGTGGCTCTGAATGACATCAAGAGACTAACCCCCAACTACACAGTGAGTGTCCTGCCCCGCTCAGCGGGGATCGATCATTGAACCTCCTTGGGGACCTCTGTGGGAAATCAGGGAAGGCTTCTGGGGGAGGCGGCGGCATCGGGGCCCGGAGCTGGGGTCGGCAGACTTCCCATCAAGGGCTAGGAAGGCCACAGACTCAGTGTGTGATGAGAAAACTGTCTCAGAGGCGGGGGCTGGATCCAGAACCCAGGGATCCCCACCCAGCCCTCCGGACCCTGAGCCCCCCCCCCCCCATCTGTACTGCCTCTTTCCCCCCCGCCCCCAGCTCGGAGCCAACGGCTATGTGTTCGCCATCGACCCGAATGGCTACGTGTTGCTGCACCCCAATCTCAAGCCCCAGGTGAGCCAGATGGGTGGTCCTGAGGGTGGGCGGGACCCCTTCATGATGAGGATCCCCGACTTCCCACCTGACCTCCAACAGACCACCAATTTCCGGGAGCCCGTCACTCTGGACTTCCTGGATGCGGAGCTGGAGGATGAGAATAAGGAGGAGGTAAGTTAAAGGTGGGGAGGAGGGCTGGGGGAGGGGGGCGGGCGGGGAGACAGACACCGAAGACGGAGGGAGGTCACAGCTCCGACCCTTCCAGATCCGTCGGAGCATGATCGATGGCGACGAGGGCCACAAGCAGATCAGAACATTGGTCAAGTCCTTGGATGAGGTAAGAAGGCCGGGAAGAGAGGGGCCGGGAGAGAGGGTGGGCGCCCTCCCACCCCTCTCCACCCCACCCCGCTCACCCAGCTTCCTGACACAGCCTCTTCTCCTAGAGGTACGTAGACGAGGTCATTCGGAACTACACCTGGGTGCCTATTAGGAGCACCAACTACAGGTGAGTGGGCCAAGGCTGGGTGAGCGGCAGGGGTGGCCCCATTGCGCCCCCCCCATCTCCTCCCATTACCTTCCCAGTGGGGTACTAGCAGCCGGAGATCGGGGGAGTCTACTGGGGTGTGGAGTCGCTCAGAGGTCTCTGGCAGACTTCCGGGGTCCCAGCATCTTTTGAGGTGTGACCCCTGGGCCGTGCATGTCCCGTAGCCACGAGAGGGAGGGGCGGCCGCCTTTAGCCCCTGCAGCCCACCTCTCCCCAGCAGTGACCTGCTCTCCCTCCTCCTCCTCCTCCTCCTCAGCCTGGGGCTGGTGCTCCCACCCTACAGCACCTTCTACCTCCAAGCCAACCTCAGCGACCAGATCCTACAGGTCAAGTGTAAGTGGCCCGGCCCCTGCCTGCGCCCTGCACCCCTGCCTCTGCCCCCCGCACCCTGGCCGGACCCAGGCAGCATAGCCAGCCCGAGCTTGCTGGCGAGGCTACCCCTTCCCGCCCAGTCTGCCCAGCCCCGCGCGCCCGCAGGCTGCGGCACCAGCCTTGGAAAGTCTATGGAAATCTGCATGCTCGCCTTTTCTCAGATTTGGTTCCAGACCATTCTCTCATTGGTTTCCGTTAAGGTTTCCGGTTTTATTTATCTTTTTGTTTTGGTTTTCTTTTTTTTCTCCTATTCTGTGTCTTCCCTCCTTAGCCTGCCTGCCCTGAACGCTCCCTGGGGGTTCCTTTCTCAGCAGACACCCCTTCCCTCTCTTCTCTTCTCCCTCTCATCTTTCTGCTCAGCTCTTCCCCCCTCCCCCAACACACACACACACACACACACACACACACGCATATGCACACACACACACACACACACACGCACACACACACGCACACACACGATGGTGGCACCTCCCAGGGTCGCTGCCCCTTCCTCTCCATCTCCCTCCACCTTCTGTCTCTCCCTCTCCCTCTTTCCCTTCCCTGCTACTCACTGGCTCCATTTCACTCTCCCAGCTTTCCCCCCATCTCTCCCTACTCCCTGCACCCCTCCTTTTCCCCTCTCCATGTAGTCTCCCTCTCTCCTGCCCTCTTCTCTCTTTACTTCTGCTCTCTGCTTCCTTCGTTCCATCCACTCTGTTCCTCTATCCTTCATTTTCGCCGCCTCCTCGTCTCCTTTCTTCTCCCTTCCCTGCTCTCCCACCTTCCACCTCCTCTTGCCTGTGGCTTCCTGTGCATGCTCAGCTCCCCCCTGGGCCTCTCTGAAAAGGCCTGGGTCTTGGGGGCCCAGTCCTGCCCGGCCCCTGCCTGAGGTTACACTGGGAGGGAGGCTGGGGCTCCAGCCCCCACCGGGCGCCCCCTCCCGCCTGCCTGGCTGAGAGAGGAGCTCATCTCCTTGGAGTTTCTCGCTCTCTTTCTCTTTCTCGTGTCTTTTTTTTTTTTTTTTTTTTTGCAAGAAGTTTCCTTTCGGTATGATGATGAGACACAATATTTTCATTCAAACAGCCATTGAATAAAATATTGTCTGTGCCCCTCCCCTTCCCCCTCCCCCTTTTCGTTTGTTTTTGTGTGTGTGTTTTTGTTTTCCTCGCTTTCTCTCTTGGTGGACTGTCCCAGTGCCAATCAGCAAACTGAAGGGCAAGTATTTCCAGTACCGGTGCACCCTCCTCCCCTCAACCCTACCCGTCCTCACGCCCCTGCTTGCCCCCCCTCCCTGCCCAGGACCAGCCGGACCCCTGCCCTCCGGGGCTTCCCTCCTAGCATCCCTTGGATCCTCAGCTCTTGCCTTTTTTCTGACGCCCCCTGTGGTCAAGAAATCTTGACCACAGAGACAACTCCCACCCAGTGGGCAGGGGGGCCCAAGACCCCAGAGGGCTTCTGTGAGGCTGTGGGAAAGCTCCAGCCCCGTCAGACACCTCTGGACTACCTCTCCTTCCTCTGATCTCTAGCAGTGGCTCTAGAAGCTGGTAGCCCTCTGAGAAAGGAGACAGACAGGCTCAGATGCGCCACAGCCTTTTTCCAGGGTAGAGAAACAGACGGGGCAGCCGCCCAGCCACTGCTGAAGAGCGAGGCCAACCCAGTCCCCGTACTAGCCTGCTCTCCCTTCTGCCCCAGACGCTTTCCCACAAGCCCTCTTGGTGCAGCCCTGCTCTGGGCTTCTCCTTGCTCCTTAAGATGAGCCCAAAGGTTTAGGAAAGAGAGTCTGGAGAAATAAAGGTAGACTCAGGGACTGTGGGCCTGACCGGGCTTGGGGCAAGATCTCAATACAGCCACCCCTACCCAATCTGGGTGGGAGTGGGGGACACCCCTTACTCCCAGTGCTGGTGTTTTTTTTTCCCCCCTCTCCCACATCCCACCTGGTAACCCTAGGACTGCAGGGCCCCGGTAACCATTAGCATAGATAGGCTTCCTCCTTGCTCCTTCTCCTTCCTTTTTCTTTCTCCTCTTCCTCTCCCCGCCCCCACCCCTTCCCCTTTGGCTTGTGTCCAAACCCCGCCTCACAGTCCTATCAGAAAGGAACAGTCCAACCAGTGACCGCCCAGCCCCTCGAACATCCCAGTCTCCCCTCGCCCGGAACCTTGCGGTGCATCGTGGGAGTATTTAATAACACAGGGGGGGGAATCCCTCCTCTGCACGCATAAGGCCCATGGGGCAGAAAAAGTGGACTGCCAGACTGAGACAGGCCAAGAGCTAGGGGACTCCCCGATACAGCCCAGCAGGGGGGCCGGTGTAGCTGGACAGGGAGAGGCCACGGCAAAACCGTTCCGTCATATTCAACCAAAGACGCAGCGAGGTCCCTGTGGCTCACGCCTGTCATCCTAGCCACACAGAAGGCTGAGATCTGAGGATCGAGGTTCAAAGCCAGCCCAGACAGAAAAGTCTGAGATTCTCATCTCCAACTAGCAGTCAGAAGGCAAAGCCAGTAGAAGCACCAGTCATGAAGGGGGTGGAGGTGGGGGGGACTAAGGGACAGCATCCAGGCCCTGAGTTTAAGCCCCATCTCTCTCTCTCTCTCTCTCTCTCTCTCTCTCTCTCTCTCTCTCTCTCACACACACACACACACACACACACACAGATAAATTTGTGATCCCACACACAGAGATCTTAAGTCCAGGGCCAAGGCTCAACTGGTGGGCTCCACAGGGACTCCCCGCCCCCGCCCCCTCTCCCCCAGCCATCCTCTCTGAACCCAGAAATAATCCCAGGAAAGGAAGAGATCCAGCCTTTTGTTTCCCATCTGCCCCTGCGTGGCCCAGGAAAGCAAGTGTGTAGGTCAATGGCATCCCTCTCCCCATGCGTGCGCCTCTCCCAAGCACCCTAACTCAGGGCGGGCCCCCTCCGTCCCCCCACGATGCACTGCACACCCCCTCCCCCTGACTGCCCACACCCGTCTCTGGTTGGACTGTCGACGCCCGTGAGAAACCCCCTCGGTTTGGCCATGTTGATGCCTGACACGGAACAAAAAGCACGACCTCACCAAAAGGCAAACAGCTGCGGCAAAGCAAGAGCAATACAATAAAAAATGTCTGCAGCCAAAAAGCCAATTCCCTTCCTCACGCGTCTCTTTGGAGGCAAAGGAAGCTCAGCATGCGGTGTTTTGGTTTGTTGTTTTTGGTTGTTTTTTTTTCCTCCCCATTATGGATGCGATAAGAGCGAGACTGGCACCTCCACCAGACCATGCATATATATAGCAGCGTGTGTATATATATGTGTGTGTGTGTGTGTGTCCGTGTATATGTGCTATACAGCCGTATGGAAGCATATACAGCCACGCCAAGGGACTCACTGCCAACAGAGGACCGGGCCCGGGCAACATATTGGCTATAACTGCCCTCCTCCCGCGATGCCTAGTCTCCGCAGGCCCTTCCCCTCCCCACCCGTCCCTTCTCTCTGGCTCGAACCTGACCGTAGAAGTGACGGGTTTTCCCTCTCTGCTGGTGTCTCTCCCTTCCCTCGAGCCCCCCCCCCCCCCCCGTCCTCCCCGTGTCCCTCTCCAAGCCCGTGAGCTCTGAGCCCCCTGGCCTCTCGCCTCCCCCCCAGCCCCCGCCAGATAACCCCCCCGTTTCTGTTGCAGATTTTGAGTTCCTGCTCCCCAGCAGCTTTGAGTCTGAAGGACATGTTTTCATTGCTCCCAGGTAGCTTGTGTGTGGCCTTGCTGAGGTGTCCTTCCCGCCCCCACCCCCACCCCCAACCACCCCACTTCCCGCACTGCTGCCTGGAGCTCTTGTGTGTCTGTGTCCTGTGCGGTGTCACCTCCACCTCTCCGTACATAGCCCGGTATGTGTGGCTGCGCGTGCGCATACCTGGGCTCTATGTAACAGCGCCAGGCTGCGGTGTGTCCAGTGGCCGCCACGGTCCACCTCCCAGCAGGCCCTGCTGCTGACCTCCCAGCCCCACCCCACTGTCCCAGGCAACCAGGAAGGAGCCCCTTCCCCTTGGGCCAGCAGCCCCTCACTGGGCCGCTGCTGCCCTAGTTTGTGGTGTGGTGCCATCTTCCCCTCCCATCGTTTGTCTCGTGTCGGTGTTTGTGTGGGTCTGGGGAGGGGCTGAGCTAGCCAGAGCCCCTGTGGGCAGTGCCAGCAGTGCCAAGTCTAGGTGTGGTGGCTCACTGAGGAGGAGGAGGGATGGGTGCTAGGAAGGATGGGGTGGTGAGGATCTACTCTAGGTAAGTAAGGGGTCAGCGCCCAGAGCAGGTCGTGCACATGTCCGAGGAGGCCAGGGAATGGCGAAGCCCTCTCATGAGTGGGCTTCAGATGAGGGCAGGTGGTGGGTGTGACAGACAGACAGACAGGGGTGGGGGGCGCTCTGAAGCACCACATGGGGCTCTGGCCTCTCCTCACCTCCATTATGTATGTGAGCGCGTGCATGCACCCACAGATCTCTCTGTGACTCTGTAGATGTGTGTTTGTGTTTGTGAGCCGTCGCACACACGTGTCCGCAGAGTCTGAGTGTTGGCGTGGGATGGCTTCCGTGTGTCCGTGACTGGGAATGTGTGGGAAGAACTGTGAGACCCACGTGGCCCCGAGGACGCCCCCCAAGGCGAGGGACTGTGCTTGTTCGCGTCACCTCTGTATCTCTGGCTTCAGAGAGCTCGGTATATGTGGAGCGTGTGTGGAGTACCCAGTCATACGTGTGGTGTATGCCGGGCACGGCCGTACCGGTGTGTCTCTGGGTGTGTCAGGCGTGGCCTGTGGGGACAGAGGCACGGTGTGTGCGCTTCATGAAAATTCTGGCAAGTGCCAGCTTCTCTCACTAACCTGAGGAAGGGGCATGTTTCTTTTATCTTCACTTTTTTTTCTTGTTGTTGGTTGGTCGTGGGGCTTGAACTCTGGGCCTGGGCGCCATCCCTGTGCTCTTCAGCTCGAGGCTAGCTCTCTACCACTTGAGCCACGGCGCCACTTCTGGTTTTCTGAGTGGTTCATTGGAAATAAGAGTCTCATGGACAGTCCTGCCTGGGCTAGCATTGAACCTTGATCCTCAGATCTCAGCCTCCTGAGTAGCTGGGATGACAGGTGTGAGCCACCGGCACCCGGCTCTTGATCCTTTCTTGGTTTTTTATTTTTTGTCCATCATGGGGCTTGAACTCAGGGCCCAGGGGCTGTCCCCGAGCTCTTTTTGCTCAGGACTAGCACTCTACTGCTTTGAGCCATGGAACCACTTCCAGTTTTCTAGTGGTCCGTTGGAGATGAGTCTCATGGGCTGGCCTCACGCTACCATCCTCAGATCTCAACCTCCGGGTGGCTGGGATGAAAGGTGGGAGCTACCAGTGGCACCTGGATGTTGTCACTGTGTAGATGGGGGTGTGAGCAGGTGACCGGGCAGGAGAGATGGCTCTGTCATTGGGGGGAGAAAGACTGCTCGCAAGACTTCCTGGAGAACAGATCCACACGTACACTCTGCCACATCACAGCCCTCACAGTTTCTGAACCCAGAGCCTGAGCCCAGTTGAAGGCTTTGAGGGGAAGGATTGGTCTACCCACCTCTAGCCAGTACACACACAAAAAAAAGAAAAAGCCTCAGGGAGGTTGAGTGAGTCACTGAAAGGTGCACCGCAGGACGAGGCAGGATGAGACCTTAAGACTCTAGCCAATAGAAGCCAGTGCTGGTACCCAGGCCCACCCACCCTGTGCCCCTGGGAGCTGTGGAGGGCATACAGGTGGATGGTCCAGCCAGCAGACAGTTTCCCAAGCCTCCCCAGTGGGTTCTCTGGAGCTCACGACCCAGAAGAGAGATGGAAGGCTCTGAAGGGCCGAGCCTGAGAGAGACAAACTACCATGGTGGTGAAGGTGGTGGAGGAAGCAGACCATCTTCCTGCAGCCGTAGCCCGTGAGGACACGTGTACCCCTCTCCGTGGCCTGAGCTTCTCAGCAGGTGGCCGAGGAGCAGGCCAACTGAGAAAGCTTCGAGCCTCTTGTTCTGTCCAGCGCCCCAAGCCCGCTCTTCTCGCCCCTCCCAACCCCCAGAGAGTATTGCAAGGACCTGAATGCCTCCGACAACAACACCGAGTTCCTGAAGAACTTCATTGAGCTCATGGAGAAAGTGACTCCAGACTCCAAGCAGTGTGAGTTGTCAGGCAGGGTAGCGGGATCTAGGCAAAGCCCGAGCAGCCTGCAGAGGGACCAGAGATGGGCAGGGGTGGACACAAGCTTTGCCAGGGTAAAGGGAAGACTCCTGGGGAAGCCCTGGGAAAGGGGGAGGGCGGGGAACCAGAGACCCCCCCCCCACCTCTGCCCGTCTATTCCAGGCAACAACTTCCTTTTGCACAACTTGATCTTGGACACGGGCATCACACAGCAGTTGGTGGAACGTGTGTGGCGGGACCAGGATCTCAACACGTATGCGTCACCCAAGCCGTGGGGGCGGGAGGCCAGGTTGGAGCCAGAGGTCCTGGCCCTGCCTGACAGGAAGAAGACCTGTGACCCCCCCCACCTTCCTGCCACCCCTAGATACAGCCTGCTGGCCGTGTTCGCCGCCACCGACGGTGGCATCACACGTGTCTTCCCCAACAAGTAAGTGCCGGCCCTGCTACCCAGTACCATCCTCACCCCATCCCGCTGTCCTTGGGCCGACCCCCGTAAAAGAGCCTGCACCCACCAAGCTCTGCCTCTCTCGGGGTGCTCCAGGGCAGCTGAAGACTGGACGGAGAACCCTGAACCCTTCGATGCCAGCTTCTACCGCCGCAGCCTGGATAATCACGGTTATATCTTCAAGCCCCCACACCAAGATGGTAAGGGTCACACTCATGGGACCCAGAAGCGGTGGGAAACAACCCCAGCCTAGGGTCACACGCTGCTTTCTAAAACCTCTGTCCACTTAGATGCTAGCTAAGATCAGGGCAAGCATGAAGAGAGGGACAGGCGGGGATAAACACCATGCTGGGTGCTGGGTACTTAGGCTGGGATCGGCCAGACCTCAGAGTGGTCAAGGCCCAATCCTGACGGCTATGCCCATCTCACCACAGCCCTGTTAAGGCCTCTGGAACTGGAGAACAGCACAGTGGGTCTCCTCGTCAGCACAGCCGTGGAGCTCAGCCTAGGCCGACGTACCCTGAGGCCAGCAGGTGAATGCCCTGGACAGAAGTGGGGAAAGAGGCAACAGACGGGCCGCTGCTCCCCAAGCCAGTAACACAGACGGATCCCTTGCTCTCTCCCACAGTGGTGGGTGTCAAGCTAGACCTAGAAGCTTGGGCCGAGAAGTTCAAGGTGCTTGCCAGCAATCGTACCCACCAGGACCAGCCTCAGAAGGTATCCAGGCAGGGGAAGAGAAAATAATCAAGTCCAGCGGTGTTTTCTCTGGAGTTCTTTACAAGCCTCTCACTCAGAGTGGCTGCAAGCATCTCTGGGAAGGTGGAGGCTGCTCCAGATGCTCCCAGAGAACCAGATCTATGAAGGGTAACGGGAGGGAGAAAACCCAGCGGGTGCCTTATAGTCGTCATTCTCTGCCCAGCAGTGTGGTCCCAACAGCCACTGCGAGATGGACTGCGACGTGAATAATGAGGTGCGTGCTCTGCGATCCTGCCCGAACCCCGGTTTCCTCCATTCCCAGGCTTTTGGATCCCAATTTCAAGTCTTAGCTCATCCCTTAACCTTTGGATCTCAGCACTCCATCCCTAGCTTCGCAGCCTCCCAGGGCCTGAAGTGGAAGATCTCCAGTAGAGCCCCCCCGTCCATCTTCCTCCCCCCTGCCCCCCTTTTCCTACCCCTTCCCTACCTGGCAGGACCTACTCTGTGTCCTCATTGACGATGGAGGGTTCCTGGTGCTGTCAAACCAGAACCATCAGTGGGACCAGGTGAGAGCCAAGAAGAGAGTGGAAGGAAGGTGGAAATATTTCAGTCTTGCTGGGGGGAGGGCGGGGGGGGGGGGGGGCCTTGACACTGCCAGGTTTATGACCATGGCTCCTGCCCGGCATCCCAGGTTGGCAGGTTCTTCAGCGAAGTGGACGCCAACCTGATGCTGGCACTCTACAACAACTCCTTCTACACCCGCAAAGAGTCCTACGACTATCAGGCAGCTTGTGCCCCTCAGCCCCCTGGCAACCTGGGAGCCGCACCCCGGGGTGTTTTTGTGGTGAGGAACCCCTCTCCTTCCCTCCCCCCCTCCACCATGATTGAAGATGGGGAGGGGGTGTTGCTGACGGACGGCGACACATCCTCACCTTTGGCGTGCGAGAGCTGGGGGAATAACCTGAGGTGAGGGGCAGCCATGTCAGCCCATGCTCCCCTCTCTCCACTGCAGCCCACCATTGCAGACTTCCTTAACCTGGCTTGGTGGACCTCTGCTGCGGCCTGGTGGGTCCTGGCAGGGGGTGGGGGTGGGATGGGGGGTGTGGGATGGAGGGGGTTGTAAGCCAGGAAGGGAAGGCACCCCCTAGTCACAAGTAGGGTAGCACAGTGCCCTCTGCTGACCACTTCCATTGTCCGTGCCTTTTAGGTCCTTGTTCCAGCAGCTTCTCTACCGTCTCCTCTACCACAGCTGGTTCCAGGCAGGTAGGTTAGCAGGGCTTGGGAGGCCTCTCCTCGAATCCCGGTTTTGGGGTAGAAGCTGTGGGGCGGCGCCCCGTCCCCCCACCCCACACCCCCTCTCCCAGAGAGGGAGGGACTTACAGCCGAGCCTGGCCAAGGCCTGTGTGCGGGGCTGAGGCGTCTGGCCCCCCACAGACCCGGCAGAGGCTGAGGGGAGCCCCGAGGCGCGAGAGAGCAGCTGCGTCATGAAACAGACCCAGTACTACTTTGGTTCGGTGAACGCCTCCTACAACGCCATCATCGACTGCGGGAACTGCTCCAGGTGCTTTGCGGAGGGGGGCGTGTCCGGAAGGGCGAGGGGCGGGGCCTGGCCTGCTGGAAGGGGACGCGGCGTCGGGGGCGTGGTTTGTGGGGGCGTGGCTTGTATATGGGCGTGGCTTGTCTGGTTGGGGTGGGGCTAACTTTCAGGCCCCCGCCTCTTGATAGTCTCCCTCTCTCTCCTCTTTTTCCCTCTCTCCCCTCTCTCCTCTTTTTCCCTCTCTCTCAGGCTGTTCCATGCTCAGAGGCTGACCAACACCAACCTTCTGTTCGTGGTGGCGGAGAAGCCGCTGTGCAGCCAGTGTGAGGCTGGCCGGCTACTGCAGAAAGAAACACACTGTATCCTGCCCCCCCCCCCCCCCCCGCCCTCCCCGCCACCACCCATGCCCCTTTCTGCCCCGCGTGTCCCCTTGTGCTGCCGACGACGACACCGCCTCCTTGACTCCCCACCCATGCCCAGCGGACGGCCCGGAGCAGTGTGAGCTGGTGCAGAGACCGCGATACAGGAGAGGACCTCACATCTGCTTCGACTACAATGCGACGGTGGGCAGGGGGTGGGGGGGGAGACCGAGGCAGATCTGACACCCCAGGACCTTGAAGGTGGTCTGGGTCGACCAGTTACCTTGTCTCTCCTCCGTAGGAAGATACCTCAGACTGTGGCCGAGGCGCTTCCTTCCCACCCTCGCTGGGCGTCCTGGTGTCCCTGCAGCTGCTGCTTCTCCTAGGCCTGCCGCCCCGGCCACAGCCTCAAGTCCACGCCCTTCCTCCTTCTCCCCGCCTCTGAACATCCCACCTTGGGGCCCCCCACCCCCATCCTGGCCTCCCTCACCTCTCCTCCTTCCTGCCACCCCACATCATCCACCTTAGAGATTTGCTCTTCCTCAACTGAAGGACCTGAGCCCTGGGAGCCTATGCCCAAAGCAGGGTGCCACATTCTTTGGCACCCGAGACATGACTCACCCCTGAACCATGTAAGTGTCCCTAGGCCCTGGACACCTGTACTGGTGCCAAATCAGGCCTCTGCTGCCCATGCTGCCTGGAGGCTTCCTCTGCAAAGGTGACCTTGTCTCAGTTGGACACGTCCAGTCTGGCCCTCTCTACCGTAGTTTCCCTGGGTAGGATAGAGGAAGAGATGGTAGTTTGAGGCCTGTGCATCCTAACTGAAATCCTGGTGGGAGAGATGTTCTTGGGGTGGGGGTGGGGGGGAACAGTCTTCTATTGGCTCCTGTTCCGTTCAGGTCTGGAGTCACCCGCAGCCCAGCTCTGCAGGCGTCAGGACTGCAGATGATGACAGCAGTTGAGACACAACACAGTACATACCTGGACCCTGAGGGCAAAAACGGGACTCCCATAAGACCTACCCCAGGGGACACACACAAATACAGACACATAGATACACATGCCACGGGCGGGAGGGGGGCTCCCATAGCCTTACACGGGGCAAGGGGCTGGTGAGAGGGCCGTACACCTGTGCCCTCCATCTGCTCACCGCCCGCCTCTATTCTGAGCTACAGCCCAGCTGGTCCTCCCATCTCTGAAGCTGAATGTGCAACAGTGCCAAATAATGCTGGGGCTGGGTGGAAGACACCCCCCCCATCCCACCCCTAGCCATCAGTGTTTCCCCAAGGCCCCCTCTCTCTGCCAGGTGCTCATTGTACCCATTTCTCACTAGTGTCAGCTCCCCACCCACCCACCCAGCAGGACCATATGCCACTGCCTGCACCCCTTGGCAGAGGGCGCACACACACACACACACACACACACACACACACCAGACACTACCCTTTGCCTTAGCAGGAGTGACTTGGTCTCTCCTGGCTGGGCCATCCCATCTCCATCTGGCCCTTCTACACTCAGGCCTGTGCCCACTCCCTATATCATTGCCACTCATACCCACACTCTCCCTGCCCCTAGGAGGCCAAATTGTCCCTCCCCTGTTGAATACATACTCAGAGTGCACATGCGCGTGCGCACGCACACACACACACACAAACACACTGCACGTATGGAGGCTGGGTCTGGGCACATCTTTCCCACCATTCATTCTGATCATTTCCCCCGAAGGCATTGGAGCCTGGGGGCCAGTAGGGAACTGAGAGCTGGGGGCATATAGCCACGAGGCTCAGATGGACTGGGAGGAGGGGGGAGGGTAATGCATTAATTAATGGCTCCGTTAATTAATGTCATGTTGCTTGTCACTTTCTCAGTGTGTGTGTACGGTCTCTTGCCCGCTGCTGGTGCCAAGGTGGGTGTTCATGATGTATGCCCAGCCAGGGATGTCAGCTGTGTCCTGTAGGGGGCGTGTGTGTAACTGTAGTGTAGTCAGGTGCTCAATGGAGAATATAAAAGAAACATACAGAAACAAATATATATTTTAAGTTTAAAAAACAGAAAAACAGACAAAACAATCCCCATCAGGTAGTTGTCTAACCCCCAAATGGTCTGATCTTTCTCATCATCTGATCTTTCCCCGCCCCCCCCACCCTCACCTTAGGCTGGGGAATTAGGGGGCCTTTTCCTTTTCTCTGCCCTTTTTTTTTCTTTCTGTTATTGTTCTATTTTGTACAGACAAGTTGGAAACACAACAGCGACAAAAAAAAAGTCAAGAAACTTTGTAAAATATTGTGTGTGTGATTCCTTGTAAAATATTTTCAAATGGTTTATTACAGAAGATCAGTTATTAAATAATGTTCATATTTTCACTTCAAACAGTTTCCATCCACTGTTTCAGCCTTGGGATAAGGACGGGGTAACTATGAAGGCGGGTGGCCATGACCTTGAGATTCAACCTACCCTGATGGGAATGAAGACCACAACTCTTGGAGCCATAGGACAGGATGCTTCCAGTGTCTACTAAAAGCCTAGCTCCTGACATACTTTGTCTCAAGTTACAAGTCTCCAGGCAAAAACAAAACGAAAAACACCTCTTTATATAGAAGAAAGAAAGCTAGCTGTGAGCCCGTAGCTCACACCTGTAATCCTAGCTACTCAGGAGGCTGAGATCTGAGGATCCCAGTTCAAAGTCAGCCCTGGCAGGAAAATCCGTGAGACTCTTGTCGCCAGTAAATCATTCAGAAAACTGGAAGTGGTGCAGTAGTTCAAGTGGTACAACACTAGTCGAGCTGAAGAGCTGAGGGACAACATTCAGGCCCAGAGTTTGAGCCCCATGACAGAAAAGGAAGGAAGGAAGCAAGGAAGGAAAAGAAAAGGAAGGAAGAGCTGGGTGCCAGTGGCTCACACCTGTAATCCTAGCTACTCAGGAGGCTGCGATCTGAGGATCAAGGTTCAAAGCCAGCCCAGGCAGGAAAGGCTGTGAGACTCCTCAATAAACCACTAGAAAACCAGAAGTGGCGCTGTGGTTCAAGTGGTAGAGTGCTGCCCTTGAGCTCAAAAGCACAGGGACAATGCCCAAGCCCAGAGTTCAAGCCCCATGACCGACAAAAGAAAGCAAGCTGTTTGCTGATGGCTCACACACACCTGTAATCCTAGCTAGTCAGGAGGTTGAGATCTGAGGATCACGGTTCAAAGCCAGCCCAGCAGGAAAGTTTGTAATGCTTTCCTATCTCACAGTCAAGCTGTGGCTCAAATGGTAGAGCCCTAACCTTGAGGGAATATTCTCAGGGACAACACCTAGACCTAGAGTTCAAGCCCAGGAGTGGCATGAGCGTGTGCGTGCGTGTACACACACACACACACAGAAGGTAAAAGGAAGCCTCTCAGAGCCTCAAGGCAAGGCCTGGACTGGAAAGAAAACAGTAATGAGATGTTAATCCAGTTGGGTCCAGCCATGTAGTCAGCTAACGAGGGCTTGACAGACAGGTCTTCTAACTCACCAAAAAGAGCAGAAGCCAGCACTCTGTTGCACTAAGGCCCAATCCTGTTGTCCTGAGGATACTAAGGCCCACCTATAAGCCCTATCAGGGTCTAGGAGAGGCCAGAAGCCAACCCAATTTTTTTCTTTTTTTTTGGTCAGTCATGGGGCTTGAACTCTGGGCCTGGGTGCTGTCCCTCAGCTCTTCAGCTGAAGGCTAGCGCTCTACCACGTGAGCCACAGCACCACTTCCACCAACCCAGTTTTTATTCATTCCTTTGGCAGGCCCTTCTAGCTGCTCAGTTTGTGACAAGGTCCTACTATGCAACCCGGGCTGTACTTGAATTTTCAGTCCTCCTGCCTCAATCTGCTGAATGTTGGGATGACACCATGTACTGCCACACCCAGCTCACCCTTGTTCATTTTAACCCCAACTCTAGTTCATGTGACTTCTGCATTCTTTTCATGGAAAAAGAACTGTAACCACCTGCACAGTGACTTCCCAGTGGGGGAAGTGAACTCACACTTCACCAGTAGGGGCATTTCCAGTGACTGTGTTTGCCAGCACACCTGGAGAGGGCTTGGCTGAGTCCTCACACAGACTTAGGAGTAAGTACTAGTGTTCCCACCGATGGGAGAAATTTTTCCCCACCAGATAAGAAGGTCTCAGAGACAAGATGGCCAGCAGGAGGAATCCTGCTAAACAAATGAGGACATTCCAGTCCTTGGCCAAAATGGGGCTTCCCTCCTGAAGGAGTTGACCAACAGGGCAAGGACTAACTTCAACCCCCAAGACAGTTCTCATGTCCTAAAACAGCACCTGAGATTCTACAGGGTTGTCAGATAAAATATAGAAAGGCTGAGCGGGGAAGGTGGCTCAATGGTAGAGTGCTTGCCTAGCATGCATGAGGTCCTGGGTTCGATTCCTCCACTACTCGAGGCTGAGATCTGAGGATCGTGGTTCAAAGACAGCCCAAGCAGGAAAGTCTGTGAGACTCTTACCTCCAATAAACCACACACACAAAAAAACCGGAAGTGGTGCTTTGGCTCAAGTGATAGAGCGTTCACCTTTAGCTGAAGAGCTGAGGGACAGTTCCCAGGACCAGAGTTCAAGCCCCACGACTGACCAAAAAAAAAAAAAAAAAAAGCTGGGCGCCAGTGGCTCACACCTGTAATCCTAGCTATTCAGGAAGCTGAGATCTGAGGATCGTGGTTCAAAGCCAGCCCGGGCAGGGAAGTCCATGAGACTCATCTCCAATAAACCACTAGAATATTGGAAGCGGTGCTGTGGCTCAAGCGGTATAGCACTTACCTTGAGCTGAAGAGCGCAGGGACAGTGCCCAGGCCCAGACTTCAAACCTCACGACCAACAACAGAAAAATTTTAAAAAGCAAAAAGGAGCTGGAAGCCTGGCCCAAGTGGTAGAGCATCTATTTAGCAAACTCACAGGCTCTGAGTTTAATCCTCCTTATTGAAAAAACAATAAAATCCCCTTTGATTCTTATGGTAGGAAGGCCTTGTCACTAACTCCATTTTGAGGTCCGTTTTGAGTTTCAGAAAGGGTAAGGAAGTAAGCCAGTGTCCTGTGGACACCAAATGACAGAGCAACGTTTCCAGCCTGGGTCAGGCCCTATTCCATTCACTAGACCACAGAGGTCCTTGCACAGACCCACATGCCTGCCCTCAAAGACACACTGTGAGGCTCACATACACATCACTTACAATGCCTCTCTCCCCAAAGAATTCAGCGAGTGTGCACCCCGAAGCTCTGTTGTGTGTCGAATCCACCTACACCTTGAGCTTTCCAAGCTTTACCCTTCCGCAAGCTCCCAAGAACGGGCGAGAACACGCCTGAGAACTACAACTCCCAGAACACCTTCCTCCAGCGCCGAATGGTCATAGCCTGGGCGCGAAGCTTTCTGGGACTTGTAGTCCTACGCGGAAGCCCAGTCTACTAGTCTCCCTCCCCCCGACGTTGACCAGGGACTCCATATCCCAGAATTCCGAGGAGCCGGAAGTCCAGAAGTCGGAGGGCTTCTCGCCCCCCTCTCATCCGAGGGCGCGCAAGCGCAGCGCCCCTGTTTGTCGGCCCCCGAGGAGGGAGGAGGTGCCGTGGAAGAAGCCAAGACCAAGGCCGAGCCGGAGCTAACCGGACTTCACACGGGCCTGAACGGACAGAGCGGTCCTGGAGTGGATTCTGGAGGCCTAGTATTGAGTTCAATGCTAGCCCGGCCGCAGGGCCTAGGGAGCGGACCGGCCGACGTACCGAAGCCTCCCAGGGCCTTCGCTCAGGTCCCCGGCACGGGACCTAGGCTCCGGCCTGGCGAAGAGGCCCGGCTGTTTCCCTGAGGACCCCAGTCCGACTCCACCGGAACCGGAGCCGTCACCGGGGCCGTAGTAGGCCAGTG